AAAAACGCAGGCATCTTCAACCAGATATCCATTTGAAGGGTCATTGAACGAGACGATGTCGACGAATTTTGAGATGCCACATTCAGTTTGCAGCTTATGAAAATGCCTCGTGCTTGCGTCTGCATTTCAGTGACCGAGTCAATAACGCATAAAATGCACTATAAAACGCCCGGCTAAATGGAATGTTGAAGTTTTAGAAGTACCTTGATAAGAAAAATACTCGTCACGAAGAAAATCGTATACAAACAAATTAACAATGGCATTGACCTCCCAACCATCCGGAAATGAGCTTGAGCTTGAAACCATCAAGTTCAAGTATACTGAGATATGACCTTGCCCGTCTTTTATTTTGTTGCCAGTCGGGTATACGGATAGAGTCCTACAATGATGAGTTAACGATTAAAAAACACGTAAAAAAATCATATAATTTGAACGCAAAACAGCAGGATAACACATGCCATTTGTAGCCCCCTGCCTCGAACTCTTCCGAGGTGTAATTTTCGACTGAAGCCTTTGAAAGAAACGAGAAGGACTCGATTTTGAATAAGTAGTGGCAAGGCGGAACTTTTCTTCCTAAGATATATCATCGTCCACAGGGAAAAAAACACCGCTAATCAGTTCGTTTGAATGTTCAAATGTACCGAACATAAAGACAGACAGAAAAATGCGAAGGGAATTAGCAAAAAGAAAATGAAAGGCACAAGGTTCTTGACTGCTAACACACCTTCCATGGGTCTGACTGATAATGGAATGAGGGCACAGGAACTCATGCTTGGAAAAGGGAGATTAACGGCGGGGTGACTTGTGATCGTCGTTGTCCGAAGGACTCTTTTGGCTTTATAGCCGCTCAAAGATTCCACCTTGCGCGGGCGGTCTCTGTTTTTTAATTTTGTGTTCATGGCATCCCGGGGACTCTGCTGCAGCAAGAAAAGGATTGTATGCTAATACGTGTATGGAATTATGCCAATGGCAAAGCATCAAGGTCCTATCTGTGCGTGTGCGTGAGTGTGTGTGTGTGTGTGACGTTGCGTGAGAATTCTGTTTCTGTGAAACCTGGCTTCCTTCCATTGGCATGCAGCAATGCGGCGACAAGAAAAGGATCACATGCGAGCATGTATACGATTAAAATGATATACGATTAAAATGATTTGATGAAGAAGAGCGAGTTTACTGTCGCCCAGCAAATTTAATTAAAAATTTTTAAATTAAAATGATTTTGACGATGCCGATGAAAAATATCTGAGAGCAAGCAAGTCGGGCCGCACCGGGTAAGTGATGACGCGATCACGCATCACCAACATCAGGAAAAGGAGAAAATCGTCAATTTGCAGAAAATTCTGGGAATCATGTTCTCGTTTCCGCATCTACTGGTTTTACGCCTTCCCGAATGAAAGGAAATTGTTCACTGGGACTGGTTGTCGGGGTCGAAAGAGGGATACAGTGAGAAGAAGGGGCTATCAGCTCTTTCGATACTCCGTGATCCATGGCCACTCTCTCAACTTCCTCTTCTCCCCCATGGCCCAGCCCTAATGTCGATTCCAATTCAATTCCTAGTTTTCACGCTGATCAATCTCAGACGCCAGACTTGGATTCCTTCATGGTTCGCCAATCAACCCCGCCTCACAGTCACAATCACTCCATCTCTCATCACAAGTTTAATGATGCTTCGCCCGATTCCCCTGCGATGACCACCCCTCCTACGCTGCTTCAACTCTCCTTCAACCAGGACAGAGCCTGTTTCGCCGCCGCCACGGATAACGGTTTTCGTATCTACGATTGCGACCCTTTCCGAGAGCACTTTCGCAGAGAGTTCGATGGTGGGGGTGGCATCGCCGGTGGGATTGGCCACGTGGAGATGCTTTTTCGGTGTAATATACTGGCACTCATCGGAGGTGGTCCTCACCCCCAATACCCTCCTAATAAGGTGATGATCTGGGACGACCATGAAGGCAGGTGCATTGGCGAGTTGTCGTTCCGGGCTCCTGTTCGGGGAGTCCGGCTTCGACGAGACAGAATAATTGTAGTGATGGAACAGAAGATATTTGTGTACAATTTCGCGGACCTCAAGTTGCTGCATCAGATTGAGACGGTTGCGAACCCGAAAGGGCTCTGCGAAGTTTCGCAATTAGCCGATTCTCTGGTGCTGGCCTGCCCTGCTTTGCATAAGGGCCAGATTCGAGTAGAGCATTATGCGCAGCAGAAATCCAAATTTATTTCGGCACATGATTCTGGAATAGCTTGTTTTACTCTCACACTGGATGGGCAGTTACTAGCTACCGCAAGCACCAAGGGGACACTAATTAGGATCTTTGGGACAGCTAATGGCACGGTGCTTCGAGAAGTATGTGAGTTTTCTGGTTTTTGACGATTAATGCTTTTCATATGCTCACGGCATTATAGTATAGGGTGGGTTGTGATAATTCTGCGTGTTTTTAAAAAATCCGTAGAGGAAATCTATCGTCAGTTATTTGAGGAGATACGTCTTCCTATGGTAGACAAGTGGCTGGATTAGGCATACTATTTGATGATACATGCTCTTTAGCTCTTACGCGATTCTTTAGCGTATGCTGTTTGTCCGAGTTGTGAATAAACTGTTTGTCTCCTTTGGAAGCTTGAATTCGTCTATTAAGGAAGCCGTGAAGAAAAAAATATCTGTCTATTTAAACTTGATAGCTTTTCATGCTAATAAATGCGTTCATGGAATCAACAATATAGGTAAGAAGGGGTGCAAATGCGGCGGAGATATATAGTCTGGCATTCTCTTCTACTGCTGAGTGGCTAGGAGTTTCGAGTGACAAGGGCACTGTCCATGTTTTCAGCCTCAAGGTTAATTCTAGTGGGCCCCAGCATGAAAAGTCACAGAGCACATCCAATTCTAATGCTGCCGTTACGCCATCTAGGTCATCTCTCTCGTTCAAGAACTTAAAAGGTAAAACATCTATTGTTATTCTCACTTGATATCCTGTTAGGTTGTATGAACACGTACTAACTAAAATTGTTAAATTTTAACCTTGGTATTTTGACTATTGTCCCCCATTTGCCGGGACCGTTCTATTTCTCAACCTGTGAATTGTGAAGGAGTTGAATGTTAAGAGCGTAAGATGTGTTGGAAATAATCGTTGACAGCCACCAATATCACCCGGTTCTCTTCCATTCCATATTTATTTCACCTTGTTATTGTTTTCCATGTTTTTAATTGTTTGGAGTTCTAGGTTTTAATTTTCTCAAATGGAGAAGCGTTAGTTGATTACTCGTGTTCATTTTAAGCTTGTTTTGCTTTGCACTTGCAGGAGTATTGCCTAAGTATTTCAATTCAGAGCGTTCGGTTGCTCAGTTTCACTTGCATGAGGGCTGTCGTTACTTGGTTGTATTTGGTCATCAAAAGAATACGGTCATAATTCTTGGCATGGATGGAAGGTAAAAGTAACTTCCTCAACAGAATGCAGTCTTCCGTAGGCTGTGGCTATATCTGCTCTATTTTCCTTAGATACTAAGGTTCCCATTGATGAATGGTTCTATTTTTCTTCTACGTCTGAAAAATTGGTCGCTTTTGAGTATTGCTGAGCTGATATTTGAAGAAAGGCGCCACCCCATTCACCCTATATCATATCTGCATTAGTTTAGTTGAGAATGTAGATGAAAGCACTTGTTCTTTGTCGTATCATTTTTGTCACTGCAATAAGTATTGCGTTGAGCCTCAAGCTACTTTTCAGAGAAAACCCTTTTTTAATCATCAAATCGCGTTTTGCTTTCGTTATTTTAAAATTATAAGCAGCTTTTATGTTTTGATATTAATGATCCCCAGTGGACTGTGCTATGCAGCTTCTACAGATGTCGATTTGACCCGGTGCGCGGTGGAGAAATGACTCAGCTGGAATGTCACAACTTTTTAGAGCCAGAAACAGGTTTTGAGACGATATGAGATACAAGCCTCAAGCCTGTGATGACATTTCAATGGTTGCGTTTCAGCCTTTAGTTAGTGTGTCTCTATTTAATAATGTAAAATGTCTAACTCCACTAAGGGACTGCGTTCTAACCTGAATGTAGGCTTAAGTGTAAGTAATGTTGGCCTGTACATATTTCTGCGGTGTTAACCATGTTGTTTCCGTTGAAACATCTATGATATAATACATTATACGTATACAATATCCTCCGCCCACATGATCGTGTTTACAAACATCTAGATTAAAGAAAATTTAAAAATTAAGAGAAGGATTGAAAAATAAGGGTAATAAATGGCATGTGTGGTTGGCAACCAAAAAAAAGAAAAGAAAAGAATGGGATGTGTGAAAAATAAGATAGATAAAATTGAACGGAGTTAAAGAAAAATAATATAAAAAATATTACTAACGTTTAACGATATTCTCCTCGAGCTTGCCCTTCAATGCAATGCAGAGAAAGCATGACGGGTTGGGTTACTTGGGTTGAAAGTATACAAGTCCGCTCACCGCAAGTAAACTGTCACAATCAGAGGAAGACGCTTGCTCACATAAATATAAGCCTCATTAATCAAATCAAAATATCAATCTCGAGCGTGTGCATAGTTGATTAATTATATGCGTTCTTGATATATACGGCAAGAGAATATCTGAGTCCAAGTGCTTGGCAGGGGACTGCTTTAGTGCTTTACCTTGGTGGATCTGCATCACCTCCCCACCATTCAATACTTGATGAACTCAGACTAGGAATCTGTTTGATCACGGCCCCATGTTACTGCCTGGGTAGCTGATATCACTGCAAAGACCAGCTTGGTCAAAGGTCCTTGCTATGGAAATCAAGGTAAAGCCATTTCAGTATGGGTATGCTCTGAAGGTTTAGAGATGAACAGAATAAAGCCACTTTGATGTTACTCGAATAAGTTATAAAATTATTTTACTCTGTCCCTGGGAACCATCTTCCATTTTGCATTCAATTTTTGCGATTGACTTCAGTAGAAAATGAAGTCTCTGGAGTAAATGCCAAATTATGTTAACTTCAAAATCTAATCATCAAGAATCAAGAAATATATACAGCTTAAAACACCATAGCTCAACAAAAAGGGCCGGCTAACTCCGTCTTTCAGTCTCTATACATGTCCTCACTTGTTTCATCGGACCGTAAGTATTCCATCCTAGTTAGCATTTATCTAAATGCTTTGAGAAATACAGCACTAAAAATTGGCGTGCTCTTTTGGTTCAGTCTGCACAGAACTAAACCCCAGGTCCTTGGTTAACCGTCTTTCTTTCATCATTTCCCGTACTTTTTCCGCATCCCACCATCTCCCCATCTCTGCATACAGATTTGACAGATGAATATAATAAGCAGAATTATGTGGCTCCAAATCTACGAGTTTTCTGGCTGCAAACTCGCTGAGCTCCAATTCCCCCTGAGATTTGGAACTGGCGAATAAGGATCCCCACATAGCTTTCGTAGGCTCAAAAGGCATATGTCTTGCGAATTCAAAAGCCTCTTCTACGCGCCCTGAACGTGCTAAGAGGTCGACCATACATGCATAGTGCTTGACATCAGGCGAAAATCCATACTTCCCATTAATCAAATAACTGAAAATCTGTTGTCCTATCTCTACCAGGCCTGAGTGGCTACAAGCCGAAAGGACTGTGACCAAAGTCACTTCATCTGCTCTTACTCCTTCCTCCTCCATTCTTTGAAACCACCAGATTGCTTCTTCGCCACTTTTAGCTGAAGCTAGTCCTTTAATAAGTGCATTCCAAGTAAATACATTTTTTTCCTTCATCAGGCTGAAAACTTCCAGCCCTTCGTCAGCTCTCCCGCATTTCGCATACATCTCAATTAACGCGGTCCCCAGTACAACGTCGAGTTCCCACCCATTTTTCTTTAGGATATTATGTATCCAGACACCCATTTCAATTGCACCAAATTTTGCACAAGCAGCCAAGGTATTTACCATCGTCACTCTGTTAGGCATTACACCCGCATATTGCATCTGTTCGAAGACAATTAACGCATCATCGTACTTCCCAGCATTTCGATAACCCATAATTAACACTGTCCATGACACAACATCCCTTTGAAGCATTTCATCAAACAGCTGTCGGCACAAGTCCATACGGCCACAAGATGCATAAACATCGAGAAGTGAGTTTTGAACATAAATATCGTTGAGATGACCCAGTTTTAAGACGTGAGTGTAGATGCATTGAACTTGTTTAAACTCACGGAAGTCGGATAAAGATTTGAAAAGGAAAGGGAAGGTGTAGTTATTAGGGCGAACAGAATTTTTATGCATCTGAAAGTATATGGCGAGAGGGGTATGAGGAATGTGAGAGTGAGCGAAGGCCCGGATGAGAGAATTGCAAACGAAAGTATTTGCTCTTGGAAGAAAGGTGAGCAGCAGAAAAGCGGAGTTGAGAAGACCCACGGATTGGCATGCAGTGATGAATTGGGAAGCAATGGTGCTGTCGGAATGGAGATTATGGATGATCAGTTGGGTTTGAATCTGGTGGAGTTGAGTTCGAGAAGCACAGGTGTTTAGCAGGGCAAAAATTCTATTTGTGAAAGCCCTGACCTCGGAAACCTGTCCCATCGTTATACGCAACTAATCTCCGAAGGTCGAACGAGATGGCCTCGATTATGTAGAGGAAGATTTGCCAGAAAAAGAAGCCCCTCTCATCCTCCCACAGGACGTCAGGATGAAAGAGGAAGAGAGTATTTTTAGCAGCGCCACAGAAAAAAGCTATAAATGCGCATCCGGGGAATCGAACCCTGGTCAGTACCGTGGGAGGGTACTATGATACCACTACACCAGATGCGCTTGTGGGAAAGAACTTGACATGGTATCTAAAAAGTTTGTAGTAATAACAGATCCTCCCCTTTAGCCCTCTCTTCTGCCTTAATTCCCTAGGCCCGAAATTCTGATCCGAACTCGTCTGCCCCTCTAAGCGCTTCGGCCTTTTCTTAAATCTTCGCTGGTGCTCTTGACCTCGTCTCCTCAGCTAATATATTCTGGTAATTTGGCTTTTTCTTCCATTCTGCTTTGTATCAAATGACTTGTGCATTTGTGCTGTTTTTTTTTTTTCCCCGGTGAACTTGTGCTGTTTTTATTAATTCTGATTTGTATCAAAACTTCGCAGTGTGCTGTTTCTAATTAAATTATATTTTTTAATCATTGGCACGAGTGGAAACCATTTACTCTTGACTCACTTTTTTGACCGGCTCAATGACTGGTCCGGTTTTCAGTATTTGGGGACTCCTCGACGAGTGACAATGAGAATTGTTGGACTTACCGGTGGAATATCTTCAGGGAAGAGCACTGTGTCTAATCTATTCAAATCTAATGGCATTCCGGTTGTAGATGCCGACGTCGTTGCCCGTGTATGTTTTTTGTTCTTTGTTCATTGACGTTTCAAAGTCTTAGATGGATCTTGAAACTAAAGTTTTGTTGCCCTTTGCATTGAAAAGAAGTCAGGTTTTAATGATTCTGACTTTTCTTTTCTTTGAACTGTATGAATGATTTTGAGTTGAAGGGAGATGATTGTATCGGGAGTTTTTAAAAAAAAAAAAAAATTGAGCGGGTTTGTTCGTGGTTACTTGTAGGCTGCATTAAATAAAGGCACTGGTGGGTGGAAAAAAGTTGTTGCAGCTTTCGGACAGGAAATTTTACTTGAGAATGGAGAAGTTAATAGGCCAAGACTTGGACAAATTGTTTTTTCTGATCCAGATAAGCGCCAACTTCTTAACAGGTAATGTTGCCTTTTGGTGCAGTTTTTGTATTTGACGTGAAACTTCTGATTTTCGCATTTTCATGGCTGATTGGTGGCCTCACATTTCTATGATTTCTTGCGTGGAAAAGATGCATATATATTTCGAGTGCAACGTGAGATTGAATTATTATATTTAAGTGAGAACTTTTATGGGCAATGGACGTTAATTAAGCATTAGTAGCTAGTAACTTCAATATAACAAACTGCTGCATATGTCGTAAGTTACATTATATTTTGTTATCAATTATTGGCCCTAGTCCAAAGTTCAATTTATATCTTAATTGCTAGGTTAGTACATGTCTTCCCTTGATTTTTGTGAGAAATCTTTGGAATTATTTTGTGTCTCAAGATGTATTGGGACCGGATTTTGAGTTTCAATTGTGATCTTTTCTAGATTGCTGGCTCCTTATATATCCTCTGGAATCTTTTGGGAAATAGTGAAGCTTTGGATGAAGGGTCATGAGATTATTGTTCTTGATGTCCCTCTGTTATTTGAGGCCAAGATGGACAAGTTGACAAAGCCCACTATTGTTGTTTGGGTTGATCCAGAAACGCAGATTCAACGACTCATGGCGAGAGACGGGACAAGTGAGGAGGATGCAAGGAACAGGATGAGCTCTCAAATGTCACTGGACGTAAAAAGGACTAAAGCAGACATAGTAATAGATAACACTGGTTCATTGGATGACTTGAATGAAAAGTTTCAGAAGGTCCTATTTGAGGTCTCAAAACCCTTGACATGGACTGAGTTCTGGCTTTCTAGGCAGGGAGCATTGACGGCTCTTGCTTTGGTCACCTCAGGTGTTCTTTTGTGCAGAAAGGCATTTAACATTGATGATTTGTAGCCGCTTGATTTACTTTGGGGTGTATTTCATATGACTACATAAATGTTGTTTCATATCAATCTTCTGAATTCTCCGACAAATACTGAAATATCAAGTTACTTGTGAAATTGATTAAAATTGATAGTAATTGTGAAATGCTTAATCAAATTACACGGTGGAGATATTATGCCTTTGGGGGAGGCTTGCTTCGCTCTTTTTATTTGCAAAAATATGCTCAGAAAATTAGGGTAAATACTTTTTAAAAGGGATGTGAAATGGTAAGTTTTCAAGTCTATGCGTACGTTGGTTGTTTCAACAAGTAGAGCCACGGCACGATCCTTTCTGTGGTGACACGAATTATGGAAATTGGGATGTGTTGGCCTTTTCATTCTGTAGACATATTGTGCATCAGTTTGACTTTGAAGTAACACAAACTGTCAGTGTGTTCGAATTGCCTCTGTCATTCGTTTTCTTTATCAAGTTATCAATTTATAATTAAACCCTTTTTTTGTTAATTGCATGAAATTTGAAGAATGGGCCACACTGTAGGCAGTTTTGTGAATAGTATAAGTTATTGTAATTGTATATTTTATAGAGGTTTTACACCCTTGATTAGGACCTTGTGGAGAAACATGCTTGAAATTTGAGATGCTCTGGTTTGGTCAGATCCTAGATTAAACAAGTTCAATGCAAGTCCAAACAATGAAAAATGTGATTTTTTTTTAGAAGCTGTGAAATGTGAAGGTTTTGAATAGCTCATGCCAGGATTTCTTTTGCTCTTCTTTGGCCGTTTGAAATGTTTTAATTTCGACCTCTGTGGTCTACTTAGCCAGCAATGAGATTAGAGGTCACATTATTATTTTAGCTTTAAAATTTCTGCCCTTCTGCGCATTGATTGATTATTGGCTAGTTCTGAAATTAGATGAGGATGACCCAGAAGAGAGGAATCAATGTCAGAAGGCACTTCTCTAAAGAAGCCAAAAATGTAATCAGCCTGCATATAGTTGGCGATGACTGAGTGTCCATTATTATGCTGTACCGTATTGATATGGATGTGGTTGTGCCGAATTATGTCTATTTTACTGGTTTGAAGACAGCCTACTACAGCTGCTACACTTTAGATTAAATTCCTTTTTCTCTCTTTCCTTTAGAGCTTGAGATATTCAACTGTATAAACTTTTGCATGCACACTTTAGGGTGCTGAATTATGTCTTTTTTCAAAAAAAAAAAAAAAAAAAAGGGAAAAAGGGTCCACCACTGACATGCATAAGCTCGTTTGCTTCTGGTTAGGGTTTCGTTTGCATTTAGGGGCATTTTACCAATTGCAATGCCACGAGAGATATTTCTTTATTGCTCATTCATTGCCTTTAAATATATATACTTTACCCTCAACCTTATCTCTAGTGAACTTCTCTTTCGTTGTTCCAGTTGGCAATAGGCATACTTTTTCCCTACTTTTAAGGTAAACCCAATTGGCAAATTTAAATTCGCTCTTGGAAACCGTCAAGTTAATCCATGTTGAGTTCCAATTGGGGTTAAAAGCGAATCTAATATGCAGTAGGTGCTTGGATATCAGAAAACGTCAGTGTTTGATGCATTCGTATGCTGTTTCATTAAACTCTGCTTATATCTGTGAATTTATTTGTTATCTAATATGAAACTTTCTCAGGAATGAATCGATCTTATGAGTTGGATTGGATTCAACAGCGGCTTGAATCATCCCATGGTTTTCCAATTCACTCGAGAACTAGCTGATATAAGTTGAGCTAGAAAACAATGCTTCCAGTCAGGGAATATATGTTCATGTATACTTCAACCCTTGAGTCATGTGTGAATACTCCAACCCCAGCTAATTTTTTTCTTGAGCCTTAACGTTTGAAAAAAGATTGAACTCACTATGGAAGAAAAATGGCTACTTTCATCAGTATCATAATCCATAATTGAATAGGGAAGTTTGCATCGTACCCAGGGTTGGCTTTCTCCTCACTTTTTCTTGAGCCTGTGATGTCAATGATGCATTTGGCTTCTGAAAATGGGCATGGGCGGTTGCAAGGGCGATGAACAGAATAGGATTTTAAAGTGATCAACTTCGGTTACATAAGGCTGCTCTTTCATTGCTGCGGGTGTTGTAAGTTCAGGATTCAGATGCTTTTGTACGATCAACCCAGGCCATCACCAAGCAAGTACCATGGGATGGTTAAAAATGGGCATGACATGGAGAAGCCGTATTACATTTTATGATTGGCCTTTTTAGTGGTTTGAAGCTTGGACGTTTGTAGTATACACATTTTGGCTTAACTTTATGCCTAACTCTTTAAAGTTCGTCTGCATAATATTTTATTTACAAATATGAAATCTGAGCGATGCCAGATTCGGAGTTACTTTTAGCAGCTATATGCATGTAAAAATCTCAAAACCATTGGTCTAATCCTAGATGTATCAGATAGCAGATTCTAGCCTAAATAACAGGCAGTTGTTTTAGAATTTAAGTAGGAGTACATTTCAGCTGATGCTTTATGTAATTTTCTTGCCCAACTCATTCATTTGTCGCGTGGGCTTGGTCAAATGACAAACATCCTGAATTGTTATTTTTGACCCCACCCTTCGGGCTCATTACTCTTTTCACTAAACTCATAACCATGGGTCTTAACCCGTGTTATTTGAAGCTTAATATTGATCATGCCGGTTTATATTTTGATTGGATGAGCATGAAACTATTAGGGTCCGTTTGGTATGATAGAAAATGAGAAGAGGGGAGGGGAGGAAAAATATCAAAAAGCTCAATTTAAAAAATTAGAAAAATGGGGTTAAGAGCTTTTAATTAATTTTTATTACTCTTTTATATTATTTTTTTTCTTTATTAAAATTTTGAAACCCCACTTCTCCAATTTTTTAAATAGAATTCATTAAAATTTTCCTTCTCCTCCTTTTGATTTCCCTCATACCAACTTAGCCTCTAAGCAGCACTTGGTGAGTGATGGACTGGTAGGAGGATTGTGGGGCCATGGAGAAGGACCCGATGCGAGAGGCTGGAAGGTGAAAAATGAGCTTGTACCAAAATTGATGAAGCCCTTAAAACCCTCTGATAATGACAAAATTAGATGCAAAGGAGGCCGTCGAAGTGGATACGAAGAACCTCTTGAACTCCTCACCTGTTTTTTACATCCTACGCAACTAAAGACGTGAAAATCAAACACTCGACTGAAAGCTTGATTTTATTTCCTTGGTGAGTATTCCAGAAGGGTCTATCAGAAACTCATGCGGGTGCATATGCTAGAAGCTCACCAATCCCAGCCCCACATTACATATTCTATCAGTGCTCACGTGACGTTGCTGATGTGTCATATTCATAAGCCTATTGGTTAGTTAATTAGAAGGAATTTAAGGTGGTGTGGTGCGACACCACATTCTCATACTTTTCTTGGACCTTTTAACTCGTGCTGCTTTCTCCTAATTTTTCCTTCCCTCTCAAAGCATCTTTACTCTCTCTCTCTCTCTCTCTCTCTCTCTGGACTCTGGTACGGAAGAGATGGGGCTCTACTGCATTGGCCTCTCTTCTCTTTAAACCTTTCGCTGAACGCCAAACTTCTCATCCCTTACATTACACTCCCTCCAACTAACTCTCCATATGGCAGCCAAGACAGTTGAAGAAGATCCTCCAGTAGAAGCTTTGAAATACCAGGTATAATCAACACCACAGCCTTCCTCTCTCAAATCCTCTTTTCTTTCACGTTCATCTCCTTGGTCAGTGTTCACTAATTTCGCTCCAACTTCCCTTGTATAATTACTCTATCATGCAGACGTGGGTGTTGAAAGTTTTAATCCACTGTGAAGGCTGCAAGAAGAAAGTCAAAAAGGTTCTTCAGGGAATTGATGGTAGTGCGGCAATATTTATAAGAATAATCTTACCGTGTGTTCATGATTACTAGTTCTCTTTGCTTGCAGTCTTAATTATGACATTGAATCATTGATCGCCATTCGTTGATTATAGGGGTTTATACCACTGAGGTTGATTCTCAACAACACAAGGTTACGGTGACTGGTAACGTGGACGCTAACATTTTAATCAAGAAGCTGGTAAGATCAGGCAAACTAGCAGAGCTATGTCCTTCAGAGAAGACCCAGAAGAAAGATAACAAGTCGAAATCCAAGGGAAGTGATAAGCAAAAGAAAGACCAAAAGAATAATGAACCGCTTGGCGATGACATTGATCAAAATGGTTTGGCTGATGATGAAGATACAGAGTCTTACAAAGAAGACAGTGAATGTGAGGATGCCGGCGGAGCAGATGCAGGTGGCGACAAGGGCAGTGGCGGCGGTGCTAAAAAGAAAAAGAAGAACAAGAACAAGAAAAAGGGCCAAAGCAAGGGAGATTCTCCCAACAATAACGGAGGCGGTCGAGAAAATATGATTGATGCTTTAGCCACACCACCACCGCCAAGTAAATCAGTCGGAAACACCCCCAACTTGGTTGCTTCTATGGCTGCCATGGATCTTGGTCCTCCGATTCAGCATGCCTATCCGTCGTACCCAACACCACCAGTGTACTATTCTCCTGCAATACCACAAGTATACGGTTTAAGCTATAACACAGCATACCCCACTTCTAGTGCTCAGTATTATGCCCCTCCCATGCATGCTTATGCTACATACTCTCACCTACAGCAGCCGCCGCCGCCTCCTGGTTGGATCAAGCGCTGTGATGACGACCATGAATATGAAGGTGGATGCTCTGTTATGTGAAGTCATGAACAACCAAGTGGCGGATATGAGTGCTGAGGGGTACTGTGGGGGGGGGGGGTGTTTAAGTTTCATAATATCCGCTGGGGAAAAAAACGAAAGAAAAGAGATTTGTTAATGTAAAAAGTTGGGAACAAAAATGAGCAGGGGTAGCTGATGGAGGCAAGTATGGAGGATCTTTAGTGTCTTGTCCTTTTATTAAAAAAAAAAAAAAAAAGTAGTGCATCTCTTTGGGGTTTTGCTTAAGAAAGGCCAATAGCTCCCTACTGATCTGCTACGGGCGGTGTAGGACCTTAAATCTACCTTTTCCTTTCAGCCTTATCTAAAAAGTAGATTCCTTGCACCAAAGTTTATGCCTTTTCTTTTCCTCTGTCGTGCCATTTGAATTAGCATTTCATGCATGCTAGTAGCCAATCGGTGTGAGGTTCTTAATTCAAGGTTTATTACATGAGATCAGATAAACTCATGAAAGTGGGATTAAAAAATACTATAAGAGGGGACTATATTTCCCAGTACTACATATATGAGTTTGTCCAATATTATGTAACAAACAGTTTATTGTGTTAAATACTTTTTTGATAGATTTTTTTTTTAATATCAATCCCTGGCTCTTATATTTAATATTGCGAAACAAACTATACCTAAGAGTTAAAAGAGTGCAAATGTTTGACAATTTGCTTCCCCGGTAACCTCCACTGTCTTTCCTACTCACCTTCAAAAATTCCGGGAAGCTCCAATAAATAAACAGCAAACGAAACTAGTGGAAAAAACAAAAGAAAAAAACTTAGAGCTTCTTTGTTTTTGTTCTTTATTATCTTGTTCTTAAAACAATTTTATACAATTGTTTCTTGAAACAAGTTTTGAAAACAGAAAACAAAAGAATTTGCTTGTATAATAATTCTAAAATCACACTTGGTAGGTAACAGTTGTTGCTGGTAATAATAAGTGGTGGATTGTAAATAAGAAAAGAAGAAAATTTCTTAAAATTTTTCAAAACACAAAAACAAAAACAAGAAAAAATATGAAAGTTGTTTTGATTTTTTATTTTTAAAAATATGTTACTGTTTTTTGTTTTTTAAAACAATCAACTAAAAACAAATTATTAAACAAGTTTTTTTATTTTTCTGTTTTTTTAAAAAAATTGTTTTCAAAACAAGAAACCAAACAAACCCTTAATGTTCAATGCAATTTTGATTTGTACTTGGAACATGATAAATGCTATTTGATTTTTTTCCCCCGACCAAAATGTATAGAACGTATAATTTAATTGAAAATAATCGATATGCTGTAAAAATTAAAACTTATTGTGTCGTTAATAGAAAGCCATGTTCTTATCAAGTTTTCGTCAATAATATAATATAATGTTAAGAATATCGTACACACACAAACCCCTTTTAATAAAAAGTAAAACATGGCGTTTAAAAGCTGTCCTCTATGTGCACTGTAGATGCGAAAATGGTGCCGTAAGAATTACTGGGTTCCTTATCTGCTGTGTGCTGAGAAGATCATGTCTTAGAAACGGTCGAATTAAGAAGCATCTGGAGTTTCATCTGCAGGGACTACAGCAATAGTAGGTCGGAGCGGAACGATTTAAGAATATATATGAATGGATCCATGGAGAAGATGACAAGGTGCCATCCTTTGAAAAACACAAGAAAAACAAAGCGAATAGGCACGTTATGCGCAGTTAAGTTCATTTCCTAAAAGGAAAAGGACCCAAAGAGAATCAAAGATGAAATGGAAGAAAGCAACACAGGTTCCCCTTGCCAATGAAGCTTGCTTTATGTTTGATGAAGACATATCTCATACTTCAAATTCACGTAGGATTATTGACGTGATTATTCTATTAACGGGGACATTTGTTAGGTTTTTCGTAGACCCATGTTGGGTTATGATACCCTTTTCTTTTCGCCAGACAGATATCCTCCTATCGGGTCAAACAGTAAATATGAGTTTTTTTAATGAATATTTCATGTTATAAAAAACTAATCATTTTTGTTAGATCTAGGGGGTGTTTGGCAAAACCAAAACCTAGGTTTCAGAATCACTTTTCCGCAAAATGAGATAACTTCCTCCACATATTTACTTCGTAATCCGTAAAAGCACTTCTGAAACAATGGTTTGGTTTCTATCCAAACACCCTCCTAATCCCGTTAATCGTCAGGGACTGTTTCATTTCCTTACATCACTACAACCTTGGGCCGTGGGATAAATGGGCCACGTCATGAGATCTGTGGCAGAGTCCGAACCATTTCGTAAACTTCCTGATTTGTTGGGTGTTGCCCAAGGGTTTCGAGTTTCCTGCCGTAGGATCTGCCCTCTTGGTGGGCAGATCAGGAAAGTTATCATTCTATCCCCAAGAAGACGAAGAAGAGGAAGGAGAGTTAATTATTTTAGATAAACAAAGAAAACACGCGAGGCAGAATCATAACGACACGAGGATTGGCTGATTGGGACGGGTTTATCTTTTTTTTTTTTTTTAAATTGCCAAGGGACGTGTATATCTAATCTAACGTATTCCATACTATACTTTTCTGCATATATTTTCTTTTTTTATATTTTGAATTTTGATAATTACTTGATTTTCCTCTTTATTCTATATTCTCTTTCTTTTGAAGAGGGCCGCGAAGCAATAAGCTATTGGGAGATTCTTTCTTGATTGGTCTTATCATCAAACAAGAATAGGCCGTTGGGAGACTTTCAGCGTTGCGCCTGGCCGATAAGTGGTTTAATGGCATTGGATGACTTATCTAGTTCTTTTTTAAAAAAAAAAAAAAGATTATCCAGAGAATTTATGCTGATCTTGGCTGTAAATTTTTTAGTTTTTATACTGTCATTACGCGGAATGGAATTTACTAAAGTGAGTGAAAGAGACAGTGAAAGAATCTAATAAAGTATATCTTTATTTCTTTTGTTGATGTTGGCAAAAGGACAAAAAGGAATTTGTCCTGAAACTATTGTAATTTTCTTTAAAGGAAAACAGTAACATGCAAAGGAGAAACCCGTATTTATTGTGAAAAATGTATGAATCCAGAATTAAAAAAGTTTTGTAGGCAAAAATAAAATTAAAAAAGTTTTAATAAAAGATACTCCTCTGATCCTATAAATCCTATTTATATAGCAGAGAAAGAAAATATGTTTGATCTTCTTTGTATGGCATTGAAAGAAATTTTTTATATGGATATACAATTTTATCCTTCATTTATTATTGTCTTAACTTTATTTACATAAGGTATAATATATAGTAAATAGCGATAAAATTTAAAAAATGTCGAATTTAAAATAAAATTCAATAAAGTTTAAGATTCTTTATATTAAAAGTAACTTATAAATAGAAAAAAAAATATATAATGAACCCATATAGAATAATTTTAAAGTAATCTTTTAATCATAATTTATAAAATATGAGATAAGTATGTTAAAAAATTTTATCTTAATTTATATAAAATATATTTATAAATAATTTTGATGGTGATGGGAAACAGGACGGGGCCAAGGTCGCTATTAATAATGACGCCGAGAGTGGAGATGATCTGTAATCCAAATTCATAAGGAATCTGGCCCCACCAACTAAGCACCGAGGGATTGTCACCTTAGCGGCATCTCACGATATTTGGCTATATATAGACCCAACGGTTCTGATCTTCATTTCTAATATCCCGGCCTCATAATCGCAGTCTCTCACCATGGCTAGGATGAAACCTCATCCTGTCTCCGGCGAAGCTTCTCGTCCCAACGACTCCACCAAGTCTATTGGCGACAGGCTCCGACAAGTCTTCGAGGCCGCCGTGGTGGCCGTCACCGCCGACTCTCTGAAGCAGCCAAGGCTTCTTATGCGTTATCAAAATGAGAGAAGGGGATGTAACCACCGTGCCCGTGCAGACGACCCGATTAGAACCTTGATGTTCTTGGGATCTTGGAGTCACACTTGAAGCATCGATCAAAACCAAACCACTTCTTGTTGAAACTCTTAAAAGTGAAGTAAATTTTGGACGATGCATCTATGGAAAACACAATCCAAGCAAATGGTGTACTATATTGTCAAATAAACGCAGCAGATGATGTAAATATACTTATCGGGCTTTAACAATAACAGGCACGGGCGCCTCGTTCAAGTTAATTTCTGCATCATCTATAACTTAATTGATTGCATAATGTATACAGTATATGTGCTACTCAAATAATCACGCATATTTAGTTAAAAAAGGTTTGTCGCCTATGGATGGATTCTAGACTTGTAAATTGGAGTTGTAGTTTATGGGTGTAGTTCTATATTATTTTGCCGTTAGTTCTCTTGTGCGCTTCTCCCTTGCCCTTTCTTGAGCTAATTTTAATTCCCTATTTGGGATTCTAGTCCGTTCGTGTTTCTGGAGGTATCTCCCACGTGCATTATCCGCTGCGTAAAAGAAGAATTACGAGAAAGTAATTGATGATTACCTATCTTGCAATTTGTAAATCAGTGATTAGTATCAACTGAGCATTTGCAGCTTTTTTGTAATTGTAACAAATTCGGTTGCGAAAAACTCCCGTTGAGCTTTGCCTTCTTTCTCAGAAACTGGGCAAGGTGAAGACGTGGGGTGATCCCGGCGAGTAAACTTCAGCCGAGACACGGATGTATGACGCAATGGTTTTATCACGTACTAGTGTCTTCAGGCGATGAGAAAGTGATTATTCTTAAAGCAATCGTTCTCGAGAAATTTGGCAAAAAGAAGAGAAACGCTGGTGGTTGAAGAATTATTCTGCGTGAGGGCTCAAATTTTGAGCAATTCAAACACCCCCTTCTTTTTTTTTTTTTTTTGTGGTGAATGTAGTGAAACATTTTAGATGCTTAAATTCACGTGCTTCATATATGTCTGTTAAATAAAAACAAAGCATGCATATTTTAAGTTTTAAAAAAATTAACAAAAAATGATTCGATCAATAAAAATGTAACTTCCAAAAGGCATAGCATTCAAATCCGCGTGGATACAACGATACAATACTAGAACTTCATTAGGCAGATAAATTTCTATTTTCTGATTTGATTAGTATAAAATATGAGTGTTTAGATTATTTAATAAGTGTTTTTAAAAAACACTTTTAAAATTATAATTTTGTTTCTGCCAAACACCTCCTAAGTCTAAATACTCATGTTTCTTGTATCTCAAAGCATTGTACTATTGTTTTCATGAAAGGAAGAAACATACAGTAAGGTTGAAGATTTTGCGATTAGAGATGCCATTGTTACCATCGCAGGCATTATAAGTTTCGAGATATGACTCTCTTTATATATGTATCTCAGATTTTGTAAATTATAATTAAAAATCCACTTATAAATCATTATAAATAAGTCATAATTTAAGAAAATA